CACCTTCAAGACCAACAAAGTTTAATTCTGGCAACCTATGGCTGCGAAAGTTGGACCATGGAGAAGCAAGAGAGGAGGAGAATCGACTCATTTGAGCTGGGGTGCTGGAGAAGGCTCCTGCGCGTTCCTTGGACAGCAAACGTGACCAACAAGCAAGTGTTGGAGCGCATAAAACCAGACATGCCATTGGAAGGAAAATCATAAAAATCATTTTTTAAAAAAATCATAAAACTTCAGCCATGTCATACAGAAGAACTCACTAGAAAAAGCTTATACCCAGAATTAAACTTTGTTGGTCTTAAAGGTGCCATTGGACTCGAACTTTGTTCCGTGGTAAAATTGCCACTGGAGGAGGTCATTTTTTTATCGTGAGTGGTGCACTGTCCAAAAGTGTGGCTCCATTCAGATGTCACTTTTGACCAGCTGTGGACAATCTGGCTCATTGCTGGGTTGGCATGTGCTTCTTTTTCTTCCTGCACTCCCCCCTTTACCTTACATGGAAGAAATTCTGGTTACTTGTGACGTATGCATGCGATTTGGCTACTGCATGAATTCATTTACTCCGGAGCCGTCCTCCCTGAGCTAAGACAAAAATGTGTGAGCCGGAGGCTAAAATACTGTGAGCTAGCTCACACTAACTTGGCTTAGAGGGAACACCGGTTGGCATGTGCTTCTTTTTCTGCACTCCCCCCTTTACCTTGCATGGAAGAAATTCTGGTTACTTGTGACATATGCATACAGACACATGAATTAATTGGAGTTCATGTTTCCTCCACAAATTGGGATGTAGGGTGTGAAGAAATGCTTTTTTTTTTTCCTTTGGAGGTTTGAAATGAGCAAAACCTCCACTCTCAGTTTTAAAAGTTTTTTTTCCTCTCTGGGCAGAGAGCAGGCAGGGAGGGCGGAAGTCAGTTCAATTGCTTTCCGGCTTACCTTCATACAAATGCTAATAGACCTAAGCAGGAGAGATAATGGGTGGGTCAGGGAAAAGAGATTTGGAGGTCTTTAGACTAGAACAGCTCCAGGAAATAATCTCCAGGAAAAAGCTGCAGGAAACGTTTCTCTGACCTGGCCCAACCTGGTCAGTGGGTGGGGAAAAGAGAGGCAATAAAACTCAGGAAAGCAAGGAAAAAGATCTATTTTCCTTGGGTGCTGGATCCGTGAGAGAAAACAGAATTCTTAATTAAGAGGGCAGCCATTGACCATGTGCTCACCTGAAGACCTGGGAGAGAGCTACAAGGTAATGATGACTGTGTAGAGAATTGTAACTTCCTAAAGCTAAAGAGCCTGCCTATATTTTAACAACTGGTAGGGTGTGTATAAAGAGAGGGACAGAGGATTTGCATTTTACCCATTTCTTTTGGAATCCCTTGCTCAATCTGGTGCTGTGCTAAAAGCATGCTTGTGAACTTTTTGCTGGTAATGGTTCTCTGTACCACATAAACCTCCACCGCCTTGGACACACTATTTTAAAAGGAGTGCCAGGGGAAGACAGGCAGTTGGCAAGTGGCTATTCCTCCAGGGGTGCACAAGGCAGTAAACTGTCCAGGGGCTGAGCAGTGGGAGACACAGAGGCAAGGCTTCAGATCTTGAAAGGGAATCTGGAAACCCTGACCCTCCCAGCGGGCAATTCCTACAAAGGTCAGGTTGTAGCAGTGAGTTACCGGAGAGAGAGAAAAGCATGTCCAGGTGTTGGGAAAACCTTGGAGGGCAGGGTGGAATAGGGCTTGCAGGCCAGAGCAGGGCCCGTTCTGCCACATAGGGGGAAATCTAACTCCAGTTAACCTGAATACAGGCATAAATACATCTTGAGTAGCCAAAGTTGCCCTGACCTTGGATGGCTCTCGTCAGATCTTGAATTGGGCCGTCTCACTAAGATGGCGAAGGAGAACGACAGCTAGCTGATACTCTCCGCAAGTTTTAAAATATTTACTTGTTTTTACTGACTTCACGTTCCTGGGATCCCAGATCAACGCAGACTGTGACAGCAGCCATGAAATTAAAAGACGCCTGCTCCTTCGGGGGATCCTTGGGAGGAAAGCGATGGCGAACCTAAACAGCATGATAAAAAGTAGAGACATCACCCTGCCAACAAAAGTCCGCATGGTCAAAGCAATGGTATTCCCAGTAGTCATGTATGGCTGCGAGCGTTGGACTATAAGGAAGGCTGAGCGCCGAAGAATAGATTCTTTTGAACTATGGTGCTGGAGGAGACTCTTGAGAGTCCCTTGGACTGCAAGAAGATCAAATCAGTCAATCCTCAAAGAAATCAACCCTGACTGTTCCCTGGAAGGCCAGATAATGAAACTGAAGCTCAAATACTTTGGCCACCAAATGAGAAGGGAGCACTCACTGGAGAAGACCCTGATGCTCGGAAAGATTGAAGGTCAAAGAAGACGGGGACGGCAAAGGATGAGATGGTTAGACAGTGTCATAGATGCAACGAACATGAAGTTGAGCAAACTTCAGAGGACGGCAGAAGACAGGAGGGCCTGGCGTGATCATGGGGTCGCAAAGAGTTGGACTCGACTGTGCGACTGAACTAAAACTGTTTTAAAGATGCTTGAAGTGGCTGGATAGATCTGTCTGCTTTATTATTTTTGGAGACGTGAAGAGGAAAATGTTATCTGGCTTTTAACTCTCTGGTTTTGGAGATAGGAACCTCGCTGCAGCCTTCAGTGAGCAAACAGCAAGTGGTTTTAATTTTTTTTCTACTTTGCCTCCCTTTGAGTATTTTATTTGGCCTCTCAACTTTAAACAGAAGTGACTTTTTATCCTTAGAGTGAGAGAGAGAGAGAGAGAGAGAGAGAGAGAGATAAAAGAGTGTTTTCCTTTAGTAAGCTCCGGAGATATTCACGTGAGGTTCTCTTGTTAGATAAGCAAAATGGATGCAAAGTAGAGCGACAATCCAACTGTTTAACACTCGGCTTTTTAAT